GTTGTGTCGTATGGTAATTTAATGTTTGATATGGTATAGTATAGAAGGCACGGCAGGTCATCACATCTGGTATGGCAGTTGTATACAATGATCCGTTATTATATCGTATTATATTTAATTATTCGCTGTAAAAAGAAAATATATGTCACATTATGAGATAGTAGGGTGCGCTATTGCAGATAATGCATTTTACTCTAGTGTCTAGTTTGGTATATATGGAAAAAGTACCCTGCGGTAAAGAATGGTGCTGTTTTATATTGTGGTCGAAATTCGTAGAAAAGGAACTGGAAGCGAGAGGCCAGGTTCCTACAACGAAGGAGTTCCTTTGACAACCATACTCTCGCGTCCAATGTAAATACAATTAAAGTGGGTCGCAGTTCAGGTTTTCACTGACCACAGGTCGTCGATAGTCTATCGTTTTTGCAAGCAGAAAACACTTACCAACTGTTTTTATTATTGTAGCTCTATAATGTATAAAATGTAGCATTTAAGGAGTGTTAGTTGATATTGATTTAGAAAACATCAAGCAGTAGTTTTTTTTATCGTCTTTTGTCTGAAAAACATAATGCTTATTAAATTCCCTGCTCAATATAGCCAGGAAATGACGCAACGTGATCCGACGTCTTGTGACGCCCGGTTGCTTGACGTCATGGTACCACGTGACACCAGAAAGACACTGCGGCGTTACGATATCACCTGCCATGATGTTACATGACGTCAGGTCACGCGACGTCAATTTCTGCTCTAAATTTAGCGTGGAACTTTATATCACAGATTCAAGTTGTGGTGTCACGGGGTACCCCGACGTCACGTGACGTCAATGATTCCCCTAAATTTAGCGTGGAATTGAAGTCGCACGACCATGCATTTGGTGAGGCCAAGTCACGTGATCTGACGCCATCAGGTGACACAATTAAGACACCGCTGCGTTGCGGCGTCAAATGACTTGACCTCACACGACGTAGGGCCACATGACGTAACTTTCCGCGCTATATATAGCGGGAAAATTGACATCACGGTTTCAGGTTGTTGTATTACGAGACATTATGATGCCACGTGCCTTTTAAATTTTCCGCTAAGTTTAACGGGCAAATGTACGCACGGACGGACCGACAAACGGACGCACACATTTCCAGGATTATAGAAGCTTAAAAAGGACGCGCCCTTCCTGCGCAGCGGGAACGTGTGTCTGCCCTGTTCGATCGCGTCGGAATCCCCGTTGCCGGTTTTTTCCCTTCGAGCGCGGGGTGAAAGCGGGCAGCCCCCCCTCCTGGCCGATAGAAGGGTGCATGAGCCCGCAGCGGATCTCGGGATGATTCGTTGCCCCGGACAACCGTTGGCCTCACGCCGCTCCTCCCCTTCCATGCCCCCCGACAACCGCGGTCTGTGTCTGGGCGCAACGTCCCCTAGACAACAAGGCTTCAACGCTTTAATTTTGATGTCACCTACTGTAGGCCAGCGCGGGGGAACGACCCGAGTGCTGCGTCAGCGTTCAGCTCAGACTCGTATCCGCGCTCATTGAATGCGTGGGCCAACAAAGCCCTGACGCAGCACTCTTGTTCAAGCTCTCCTCTGCAATGGCCTCGGAGAGATGACGTAGAAAATCGACACCTGTGGCCTTGTTATGTGAAGGGCTCTGTAACCGCGATGTGTCTGTGTTTGGGGGGAGGCGAAAAAGACAACCCCTCGCGTCAGGCCGCTGATAATCGCAGCCTGAAAATCCCCGCGGGCACCGCTCCGGGCGGCCGTGACTTTCCCCCGGTTTGGCGAAGACAGCAGTATTTGTTTTGACCCGTCTGGTTTGTTTTGGGGATGAAGGGCTTAGGCAGCGGTGATTCATTTCGTTTCATTAAAGCGTTCGGTGGGCGAGCGCGGTGATGGGATTGGAATGACGAGGGGCGCGCGACGAAGCTGCTGGGCTCGTTCGATTTCCCTACACCGGCGCACACCGGTGCAGAAAGGTGTAGCGTGGTGGCGAAGTAACTAGAGAGGTTTGATTCTGGTACGAGTGCAAATCATGGCTACCTTCGCAAATCAAATAAATTAGTACGGGAGCACCGAGTGTAGCTTGGTGATTGAGGAGTAGAGACATCAAACATATTTGGAAGCATTTACCATTTTTTACCACCTGAGACTGGGTGGAAGAAACACGACGACGTCTCAATTTGAGACGTCGTCGTGTTTCTTCCACCCAGTCTCAGGTGGTAAAAAATGGTAAACTTACACCAGCTCGCCTGCGCCCTGACTGTATTTTCATATATGGAAAGGCGTCCTCATTACGTCTGAGTGTTTATATAAAAAATAAACATGTAGCGTTGAGCAGACACGTAGCCATCATTTAGTTTCGGGGGAGGGGGGCCCGCCCAAGACAAAATGCTGTATGGGGGGAGGGGGAAAGGAGCCCCACCAAAATGGAAAATTTCGGGAGAGGGGGGGGGGGCGGGCCCCATGCCCCCCCTCCTCCCCCCCTGGCTATGTACCGGCCGTTGAGACTACATAAATACTTAATGCATTATATTAAAGTACTTCACAACCAGCCTCGACGAGATGGGTTTCTCAGAACCTTCAGTCTCGAGACCTGCTCCTCAGCATCCGCTTCGGGCTGGCAGTTGACTCCAATAACGCCCTAGAGAGGAAGCGCATGCGGCCAAGCGGCGCCTTTTTTTTTTCTTTTTAGAGCGCAGCTCTTAGGGGCCCGTTTCCAGCCTGAGCGGCGTCGCCGTTGGCGTCGCCGTCGGCGTCGCCGTCGGCGTCGGCGTAACCGCGCCCCTCCCTCTCCTCCTCCTCCTCCTCCCCCTCCCCTCCTCCTCCTCTTCCTCCCCCTCCTTCTCCTCCTCCCCTCATTGTGTAGTATGGTCCGGGTGGGTCACGTGACCTCGGCGGGAGGGGGTCACATGACCCGTTTCCAGCCTCTGCGGCGTCGGCGTTGGCGTCGGCGTCGCCCCTCCTCCTCCTCCCCCTCCGCTCCTCCTCCTCCCCCCTCCCCCCCCGCCAAGGTCACGTGACCCCAGGGGGTGACTCCCCTCCCCCCGCCGAAGTCACGTGACGGCCCGCCCAAGGTCATGTGATCCCGTCCCCTCGAGGTCACGTGACCCCCCGGACCTCTGCCCTCCTCCTCCTCCCCCTCCTCCTCCTCCCCTCATTGTCTAGTATGGTTCGGGGGGGGGGGTCACGTGACCTCGGGGGGAGGGGGTCATCTGACTTCAGCGGGGGGTCACGTGGCCTCGGGAGGGTCACGTGACTACCCCCTCCCCTCCCCCCCCCGAGATCACGTGGCCCCCGCGAGGGGAAGAGGAGAACGCAGGGGAGCAGGGAGGATGAGCAGGGCGGACAAATCCGAATTTTCATTTCTCCGAGAAATTATTTTAAAAGACTCTTATCTCTTATCCCTCGGCCGGCTTCGGCTTTCCTGCTGCACGGTTGAAAAACCCTGCAGCAGAAAAATAATAGAACAAAGAGAAGCTAAAAGCTGCTAAACTGCGTACATTTCTTAAAAGTAGCGCACGGTGCGTCGATGCACAAGGCACGTGCAACGTGCAGACTTTGGAAAGATCATGGCGGCACAGTGCACATTCAAACTAGATTTCAGATGCCATGTTACACTGGCCATGTTCTTCCCAGAATTGGTGCACGGCACGTGTCTCGAGCATTTCCACAACAATCAATGCAGCCACTTTTGTCAGGATGGAGGGGCTTTAGCAGCTGCTGCTAAACGTGCTGCACGAGCAGAGGGTCAGCACCGCCGGCGCCGTGATCCAGCATGAGTGATATCACAAAGACGACGACGACGAGACGTAATCAGGCAGTTCTTTTTTCACAAAATGAGCGAGTCAGATGAAGCAGCTTCTGCTAAACGCACTGCCCGAGCAGAGGCTCAGCGCCGCCGGCGCCAAGATCCTGCAGTGCGTGCCGCCGAAGCTGAAGCTAAACGGCGCCGTCGACAAGACCCGGAAGTGCGCGACGCCGAGGCAGAGGCTCATCGCCGCCGCCGAGAGCAGCCAGAAGTGAGCGCTGCTGAAGCTCAATCTAAGCGCCGCCGTCGAGAGGACCCTGAAGTGCGCGACGCCGAAGCAGAAGCTCATCGCCGCCGTCGAGAGCAGCCATGAGTGAGCGCCGCCGAGGCGGAAGCCAGAAGCCGCTATCGAGAGGACCCGGAAGTGCGCGACGCCGAAGCAGAAGCTCATCGCCGTCGCCGAGAGCACCCAGAAGTAAGCGCTGCTGAAGCTGAATCTAAGCGCCGCCGTCGAGAGGACCCGGAAGTGCGCGAAGCCGAGGCAGAGGCTCATCGCCGCCGCCGAGAGCAGCCAGGAGTGAGCGCCGCCGAAGCGGAAGCCAGAAGCCGCTATCGAGAGGACCCGGAAGTGCGCGACGCCGAGGCAGAGGCTCATCGCCGCCGCCGAGAGCAGCCAGAACTGAGCGCTGCTGAAGCTCAATCTAAGCGCCGCCGTCGAGAGGACCCGGAAGTGCGCGACGCCGAGGCTGAGGCTCATCGCCGCCGCCGAGAGCAGCCAGGAGTGAGCGCCGCCGAAGCGGAAGCCAGAAGCCGCTATCGAGAGGACCCGGAAGTGCGCGACGCCGAGGCAGAGGCTCATCGCCGCCGCCGAGAGCAGCCAGGAGTGAGCGCCGCCACAGCGGAAGCCAAGCAAAAGGCAAGGATCGCTAAGCCTGACGGTGCAACAAAAATTTTCCAACGGCTGTTTAGAGACAACCCGTTTGGGAGCGTATGTTCAGTCTGTGATCGGCTCTGGTTCCAAAACGACTTGCAACCGCTACCGGACAGATGTCACGAGACCCTAGAGCAATCATTTCCAAACTCGGACCTAACCCAATTCAAACTGCGCTCGACCTGCATACAATCAGTGCACAAGGGTCATATTCCTCATCTTTCCTCAAGTAACGGTTATGTATATCCCCCGAAGCCAGCCCACCTCCCACAATTGAACGCGGTGAGTGAGAGACTCATATCTCCACGAATTCCTTTCATGCAACTGCGACGGCTGATGCACGGTGCAGGTCAACATGGCATTAAGGGACCAGTAGTGAACGTCTGTGTTGATGTGGACGACATGGTGACAATGTTGCCTCGTGCCATCGAACAAGACCGAGCCCTCAAAGTACATTTGAAGCGGCGCATGCTTGCGAAGACGACCTACCTGGCAGGGGCAGTAAAAAAATGTGATCTGCTGCCGTGGCTTAAGCTGCTGTGTGATAGCACGCTGTACAAGCATTATAATATAAAGTGCGATTTTGCCCGTTTGGGGGATATCGTAGAAGTGGACGAACACGACGAGATCGAGTTGCTCCCGCAATGCTCAGACCTCAACGATCCGATCCAAGTGGCTACAGCCATGACTCTGGCTCAGCACACTCTCGTATGGGACGAAGACAAGTTTCTAGCGATTGCGCCAGGTGAGGGAAAAAGGCCCGTGAGCATACTTTATGACGAACACTCAGAGGAGCTTTCGTTCCCACAGATCTATCTCGGTGAGCCGCGCCGAGTAGATGCCAGCGCAAAACCGACAGTCTTCACACACGCCATGAGTGAGATCCGCAGATCAGACCGTCGAGGGGCCACCCCGCAGCACGTACTCTACATGGCCATGAAAGTGTTTAGGCACCGAGTAGCCGGTGACATGTGTGTGGCCTTCCGTAACATAAAGGCACTGGAAACACTAACGAAGCAACAGTTGCTCGACAAGGATTTTGTGCAGCAAGCGGTCGAGCACGACATGGCTTTCATGCATGGTATTCCCAACACCGTGCAGTACTGGACAAAACGCAAGAAAGACCTCTTTGCTATGATACGGCAGTTGGGTAAGCCGACCGCGTTCCTCAGTCTTTCTGCCTCGGAAATGCACTGGCCCGACCTTTTGCAGTTGCTTCAACGCCTTCGGTTGAAGCCCGGCGAGATCGAAGTACCACTGGAGCAAATGAACAGCATTTATCGAGCACAGCTAGTAAATGACGATCCCGTGGTGTGTGCCATATATTTCGACCGATTGGTGCGTGTCATTCTCAACATTCTCCGCAACACCCGTGTATCGCCTTTTAGGCCGTACATAGTCGTCGACTACTTTAAGCGGATCGAATTTCAGCACCGCGGGTCGGCACACGCGCACATTCTCCTTTGGCTTCATAACGCGCCCAACGAGGAGCTCTCGATGCTCATGCCCCAGACTCTTGAAATAGCCAACGTTCTGCTTTCCATCGACAACGGATGCTTGAAGCGGGAGCGGACTCAGGTGCACCAACACACGCATACCTGCTACAAGCACAACACCACCAGATGCCGCTTTAACGCGCCTTTTATGCCCATCGATGAATGTATGGTCGTAGTGCCTTTCCCCACTGTGGACAATGAAGCGCAGAAGAAGAAAATCGAGAGCCTCCTAAACAAGTACGAGGCCATGCATCAGGCCCTGGAAACGACAAATTATGACTCCATGGAGCAGTTTTGGGAACATCACGGTGTCGCGGACAAGGCGGAGTACATTTCTGTTCTCCGAGCAGGCACTCCTCGTGCCACCATCATGCTACCCCGTACTGTGCAGCAAAAGTGGGTGAATTACTTTAACCCATGGGTTGCATCAATTCTCGATTCTAACATGGATCTTCAGATCGTCCTCGACACGTACGCGTGTGCTGCCTACGTGGTGGAATATGTAAACAAGGCCAACCGAGGTATGTCGAACCTCAATCGAGCAGTGCAAGAAATTGTGAAGGAGAAGGGGGATATTTCCTATTCTCAGGCACTGAGACATCTAGGTGTGAAAATGTTGAATGCCATTGAACTGTCCGCACAGGAGGCCGCCTGGTGTTTGCTCAACCAGGATATGTCGGAGGCGAGTCGCAAAGTTGTCTTCGTGAACTCTGCATGGCCCGAGGAAAGGACGCGCATTCGGAAGTCTAACGCTCAGATGGCGCAGGAAGGCTTAGTAGAATCAAGCACTGATGTATGGAAACGGACGATGATCGAGCGCTACGAAGACCGCATTCCCGAATTGGAACCTGTTACTCAAGCAGAGTTCGCTACCGAGTACAACATATATACCTACAAAAAGAGGAATCAGCGACGGATACTTCGCTACCGCGGTTACTCCGTAGACGATTCAGTCAACTTCAAGCGAGAACATGTCCTGCTTTTCTATCCATTCCGCAAAGAAGTTGACATCTTAGACCAAAACTGTTTCGAGCGTCTGTATGAGCAAAACATCGACGTCATTCTAGAGAACAAGGCACGGTACCACAGTGACGTAGACATTGAGCAAATTCGTGCCGTTTGTAATTCCATGCTCCAGTCAAATGACGGGGAACATTGTGCCACTTCTGAGCTCCCAGATGTGAGACTGCACCCGATGGCCATGGAAAACGACGACTCCGATCTCCTAGACATCGGTATGGTCCAATCCAATGCCCCGTTTAAGCAGTGCCCCGCCGTGTGCACGCGCCAAGACGTCATGAGCAGAGATCAGTACCTGGACACAATGCGCAAGACGAATGAGGAGCAGTACGAGATCGTCCGAGAAGTCGTGCATAGACTCACTATACCGGACTCTCCGCCACTACAAATCTTCTTCACGGGAGTGGCTGGATGTGGGAAGACATTTGTACTGCGTCTCATCATGGACGTCTACAACAGATATTGCAACCCTGCTGGTTCAGATAATGTAAACGCCTATGTTGCCTGTGCTACAACTGGAAAAGCGGCGGTCGCGCTTGGTGGAATAACTGTACATGCAGCGTTCAGACTTACCATCAATAGGGATGGCGGACTCCGGGACAACGAGTTGAACACGTTCCGCTATGCGTTCAGGAACGTCAGGTGCGTGATTATCGATGAGGTTAGCATGATGTCCGCCGACATCCTTCAGAAAGTGGACTCGCGACTCCGCATCATCACTTGCAAATATCTAGAGCCTTTCGGCGGGTTAGACATCATCCTCTGCGGAGACCTGCGCCAGCTTCCCCCCGTTCGTGCCGCCGAGGTTTTCAAGCGCGTCAAGACGAACAGTGTGTTTAACACGGAAATCGCATGGCACCATTTGTCATACTTTGTCCTCACGAAGGTCGTAAGGCAAAGCGATCTCAGGTTTTCCACCATACTTACCAAAATTGGAGACGGTGCAGAATTGGGTTCCGAAGAAATCGCATTGATCCAGAGTCGGTTCGTCACGCAACAACAAGCAGAAACGTGTTGTCCCGGTGGCATCCGCTTGTACTACTCCAACAAGGAATCGGACTACTACAATACGAACACGGCCATTGCAACCGAAGATAATTGTGTGGCATGTCCGGCACGGGACACAATCGTTGGATTCAGGTCTATGCAGGAGAAGACAGAGGCAATGCGCAAGGCCGAAACGCTGCCCAAGGCCGAACTCGGAAACCTGCCAGCTAATATAATGCTATGCATTGGAAAACCATATATGCTCACACTCAATGTCGATGTTTCCGATGGTCTGGTCAATGGCTCTGTTGGAATACTGCAGTACATACAATACGATACGCTCCGAGAGCCGGAACGCATCTGGCTGCATTTCGGTGAGCTTGGTTCCAAAATTGCGATTGGAACCGTGGCGGCCGCAAAATCCCGGCAGTTACGGGCACTCGACAGAAATATTCAGCAAAATTGGACACCTATCGAAAGACGCACAGTCACTTGCGTCATTGATAAGAAGTCAAGGATATCCCTGAGGAGATGCCAGCTACCCGTTGTGCAAGCAAGTGCTATCACCATTCACAAATCACAGGGAGGCACGTATGAAAACGTGGTGTACTCGTATGCCAAAAGTCATCCACAGAAATTGGTATACGTGGCACTGAGTCGTGCTACAGACATCAACGGGCTCTACCTCACCAATGTGGACAATGACTTTACGTTCTACCACGGCAAGCCCAATCCCGACAGGGTACTACTTGATGAGTTTCGTCGGCTGCAGTCACACAAACTCCAAACTGTCACTGCTAAGTGCTACGCAATGATTAAGCAACCGCACTTGTTCTCGGTCGCCGCACTTAATGTTCGCTCTCTGCCGGCGCATTCCAAGGACGTGCACCACGACCCCGTCCTACGCCATGCATCTGTACTTTGCCTCTCGGAAACGTGGATGGATTCAAAACAGGCGGTAGAAATCATGGACTACCAGTACTGCTGCGGCGTCAGTAGAGAGCACAACAGAGCGGCAGGGGTGGCCATCTACGTGCGTAAGGGTCTGTCTGCCGTACCCATCGAGATATTTGGAACGTCAGACGAAGTTGGAGAACTTTGTGGCGCCAAGTTCGACAACGGCTTGGTAGTGGTGGCTCTGTATATCTCGCCTACAGCACTCACCAAAGATATCGTGCATTTTCTGCGACTTGCGTTAAGCACACGTGGGTCCACACCCATGTTAGTAGTGGGGGACTTTAATGCAGACTTAAAGAAGGATAAGAACTTCATACCACTTATGCAGGAAAACCTCCCATTTCTCTCCCTCGTAACAGCTCACACCGCTGTGACGACCTCTCGAAACACGTGCATAGACCTCGTCTTTCAAAATGAGCCTTTGGTCCATCACCTGGAACACATATCCTGCCACTTCTCAGATCACAAGGCTTCCTTCATAACAATCAAGGACTGGGATAAGAGTGCTATTTAAAGCACCAGTATAGGAGGAGCTTGCTCTATATTTGTATATATTGTAGGGATTTTGGACGCCGAACTTTGGCGACGATATGCACTGCACGCTAGGAAGAAAGGAGGAGAAGAACGAAAGCTGGGAAATTGTTCCCTCCGACGGTCTTGCGTACCTTGAGAGGTGTTAGGCGGGCCACTCGGAGGAGCATCTACCAGCTTCGTTATCAGTTGGAGCGTGCAAGTCGTACAAGACGAAGAGGAGGAGGAGGACGGTGAGGTTGAGGAGGAGGAGGAGAGGAGATGCCAGATACGTGTTGTGCAAGCAAGTGGTCTCATCAATCGTAAATCACATTGGAGCTTCCAGATCTGACAAGTATATTCCCTTTCTCCGTACAAGCGGTGAGCAAAAATACCACAATATATTACATAGTTCAGTGCGGTATATCGCAAAATTGAGATACCTCAAAAGAGGAGGAGGAGCACAGGAGGAGGAGAAGGGGACGACGAGAGAGTACGGATGAGGAGGAGGGGCATACCCTCCCCTCCGTTCCCTCTCGCCCCCGCCCCCCCCCCCCCCCTTGCTTGGAGCACATTTGGAACTTAGGGAATGTCATAGCTCGGGGCCTCTTCCTTCCTTTGCTACTGGAACTACACACTCTAAGTACCTAGAGCTTGAATATTTTTCATTCGAATTTAACATGGCCGACAGCATTGTTAAGACGTTCGACGAAAACATTGTAAACGTCATTAACACAGTTCAGACCGGCTTCCCTACATTTATTATAGGTGTGTTCCAAGCATGTGACGACTTTCATGACCCTCTTTCATCATCAAGTATTGAAGTTCATCTTGCGTCAGATCTAAACAAATCACAACACCATGTTAGGGGTAAGTCCATTATCAAGTTTAAGATGGTGTGCCTGCCTGTAGCTTCTCTAAAGTGTCTTTTTTTACGCTTGTTTCACTTATTATAAGTGTTTTCTGTTTTATATTATACTCGGCCGAGTGCCCATCTTCCAGTGTCCATCACACTTTTAGTCTGGTGATCACGTCACCTTGAAACCCTTGTAAGCTTAGAAGTGAAAAGTTTTGCTGCTTACACACAGCAGACAAAAAAAGGTAGGCAGCATTTTAACTTCTAACTGTCTAAGCGTGGATGCCAAGCATAAACCCTGGGAACATTTGCCCACTGCTTAACTACATGCTTTTTTTTTTTCATGTCCTGGTTGGCTGCTACACTGGAGAGGCTGCTGAACATCATGCCACGGCGGCTGATCATGGCGGTTTAGTTAAATTAATAATGGGGTTTTCATCCAGGACGTAAATTGGAAACTCGCGGAGCAAACTTTAAGGTACATTGGTATAACAATTGCGTACGTTGGCTTTGTACGTTATTAGCGTAAACCTTGGCCGGATATGCAACGCAGTTTCCAATATACACCACGGTTTTTCCCCAATCAATAAAATTTCAACCCTCCAAATTATTTGTCCTGACTCTATATTTCAGAGCACAGCTCTTACGCGACCCTTTCCGGCTTGAGCGGCAAGGAGGAAAGCAGTACGAAGGTGGAGGACGGGGGGAGGAGAGACGAGGAGGCGGAGGCGAGGGGAGGGGAGGAGCTTGAAGGACGAGGAGGTGGTAAAGGAGAGGGAGGGGGAGCAGGAGGGGAGGAGGACTAGCAGGCATGATCACGAGGGAGGAGGAGGAATATACCCTCCACTCCTCCTCCTCAAGAGCTGCGCTCCAATTCGGCGTTAGAGGAAGTTGTAAACGGCTTTCACTTTTTAGACCGTTTAAAAGGGGGTGTACCTGTTAGCAGTTTCCGTAAAATTAAGGTCGGTTCTTCCTCTTGAGATTTCGTGAGTCAGATGGCAGAAGTCGCAGTGTTGGAATCCAAGTGGGCGGGCTTGACCCGGTCGATGGACGCCACTTGTTCCTTGCATTTGATTAGCATAGTGAACGTCTTGGTGCCACGACAAACTACCGTAAAAGGTCCACGGTTAGGTACAGTTCGAGAGGCGCTTGACACCGTTGTGCCGGATGAATCCATTTGTGCACTTTGCCACGTGGGGGCTGACGAAGGTACTTTGTGTTGAAGGAATTCTTGTAGCAGCGGGGCGTAGGTCGTACATTTGGAGCCGCAACCGGTGAGCCTAGTCTTCGGTCCTGAAAGCTGGGGGACTGGAGGCTTGTTGGAGAAATTCTCCTGGTATTGGGGGAGAGACGTTCCATAGACCAGCTCTGCGGCACTGCAGTTCAAGACAGTTTTAAACTTTGTGCAGATACCGAGCATTATAAAAGGCCCCGACGGGGTCTCCGTCCATGACGTGCTCTCCCTACTGAAAAAAAGTATATGAATCTATATAAGAACTGATATGAAATATCCAAAAAGTGATATGCGACATATGAAACTGATATGAAATACCCAAAAATTGATATGCGACATATAAGAACTGATATGCAACATATGCCAACTGATATGAATGTGTCCAATAAACATATTAGAAATAAATTCATATATTTATTTTCAGTATACGATGGTGTCGCGCGGGAAAGCAAACGCGTGGCTTGGAACCGCAGTGGAGCGGCTTGATTTACTGGCTTTCAAATAATTACGGCATGAGCGTTTACTTTTTATTAAGAGATTCGTCGCCTGAGCCGTTTTAAATACTCTCAGAGGTATGACATTACTTAAAAAAATCTAACACGCTGAAAATATTATTTATTGCGTAGGTGGTCACCGAAAAACTCCGTACTTACAAAACGACCTGTATGAAAGGCGGAAACGCAGAGCTCCGAAGTAGTTATTGGGTGTGCTGTTGTATTCATGTTTGTTGTGCCGTGTATGCGTATGCACTCAATGTATTTGTTCAACTGAAGCTAGTGGTATGCGTAATGTATCTACGGTGCCGTGCGTAAATAAATATATTTTTGTAGCACATGAATTGGGCGGTACCTAGCGCCACCTAGCCTTGTGTAACTGATATGCGGCATATGAAACAAATATGAAATAATAAGTTCTGATATGAAAGGTGTCCAATAAACATATCAGAAAATAATTGATATAATTTTTTTCAGTAGAATTTTCCTGTGTTTCGATGGCGGCTTTCAATTGCCGATGAAAGCGCTATACCATTCCATTAAACATCGGGTGATGGGCGGTGGTGTGAATGTGATGTGCGCCCAGTAAGTCAGACAGGTTCCGAAACGATGCAGATTCAAACTGTCGTCCGCAGTCTGTGGTGATGATTTGCGGTACCCCGGAGCGACTCACCCACATATCGATAAGTGTCCTAGCGACCGTCTGTGCCGTGATTTCTTTCATAGGGGCGACCTCCGACCATCGCGTAAACCTGTCGACACATGTCAGGAGGTATCGGTAATCGTGCGATAAAGGGAGTGGGCCCACATTGTTGTCATGAATGTTAGTGAGCAAAGTGAGCGTCAGGCGGATTGAAGGAGGTCAAGGGTATTATCGCGTGACGGTGAATATTTCTGCGTTGACAGTCAACGCATGTTTTTGCCCATTCGCGCACGTCAATGTTTATACGCGGCCGGACGAACCGGGAACTGACGAGTCGTTAGGTGGCTAGTATGCCAGAGTGGGCCAATTTGTGGGTGACATCAAAAACCTTACCCTGAAACGAGAGGGGAATGAAAGGGCGAGAATAACCATTTGACAAGTCGCTGACCACGGTTTCAGAACAACCATGCTTGGGGACATCCTAAAAAACGTGTCCGAGATGATGTACGTAAGCGTTGCAGCTGCGCATCGTCTTTTTGAGCAGCTATCAATTACGCAGAGTCAAACAAAGCACCTTTGGAGAGGCAGAGGTTGATGCGCGTTCGAGAGAAAGTGGCTGGTACAGCATTGTTGGAGCCTTTAACGAAGCAAATGTCGGTAATAAATACAGTTACGTAGAGCATTTGCAGAACCTCTCGTGGTGTGTGCATGTGCCGTGCTGGTGGACGACAAGGCGTACGTGAGCGGTTTGTGGTCTGTAAGTACAAAAAATTGACTGCCTTCAATGAAGTGCCGGAAGTGTCGTATGGCAAGATAAATGGCGAGCAGCTCCCGACCAGAAGTGCTGTAGCACGTTTCTGTAGTACTGAGGCCTTTTGAGAAGAATGAGAGAGGATGACATGGTGTCCCCAGCGAGCTGCTACAGGACAGCTCCAACTGCTTGCCCGATGCGTCGACGATGAGAGAGATAGGAGCGTTACTTCTCGGATACATTAGCATGGTGACGGTTGCGATGGCTTCCTTGAAATTAGAGAAAGCGTCGTCTGCTGCGTACGCTTGTTGTAGAGGTGTCATTTTTGGTTTCGATATCTGGAGCAGATAGTACGAAGGCTGGGAAATATAAGCGCAGCGGGGAATAAACCGACGGTAAAAGATGACCAGTGCCAAGAACTCCAATAGCTTAGTAGCCGTTGTAGGCCGTGGAAAAGTGCGAATAACGGTCTCTTTGCCAGGCAATGTTTGTACTCCTAATGCCCGTGTCCCACTAAAGCGACATACAGAAACAAAAGACGACAAGCCTCAAACCAGAGTCTTTCGCGTTTGAGAGGCTTCGTAGAATAAAGGAAGCTATGCTCAAACACGAGCATCATGCACGCGAGCGTATCTTTGGCAGGCTTGCAATCTCTCGTGCTTACTTCACGAGCACCGAACGACTAAATGCCTGTCAAAGATACCATCGCAAGCATGCTGCATGGGTTTGAGGCTTGTCGCTGTCTTTTGTCTCTGTCTGTCGCTCTAGTGGGACATGGGCATTAAGCATCTACGTGATGGCTAAAAGATTGCAGTTCCATGACTCCAAATTCGCACTTCCTCACATTTACAAAGAGATCATATGACGTCAGGCGCGTAAAAAGCTGTCGAAGGTGACTGGCATATTCATCAGGCGTCGAGCTGAAACCAGGATGTCGTCCACATACGCGAAGCAAAAAGGCAGTCCACGAAGGACTTGGTCTACAAACTTTCGAAGTGTTGGAGCAGCGTTGCGGAGGTCGGATGG